GCAGACTACTGCTTTTTGCTAGAAAAAAGCTCTTTCAGTCCTAAGGAGCATTAAGTAGGGAAAACACTGACTTTCTGCACATCTGTCGCTTTGCAGTTCCAAATTCTCTGTAGAAGGCTGTTTCGCTTCAGAAAGACCAGAAGCAATTAAATATTTGTTTTAAGCATTTGTATCTAAAAGGAAGTAAATGTTTTTACTTTTAATATAGTGGCTCAGTAGTGTTGTTTTTAATTAATTCAATATTTGGGGCATTATTTTTATAAAAACAAGATCATCAGATTTCTAAATAAATAGGTGAGTGTTCATATCACAGATTGCATTGTGTTAAGAGTGGTCAGTAACAGACAAACAAGATACTCACATATTGTTTTACAGATATTTTACTGAATTCATATGGGTGCCGTCGGCCAGGCAGTGTCGGCTGGCGACCCCCAGGGGGAGGGCCTTCTCTGTGGGTGCCCCCACCCTCTGGAACGAACTACCCCCCGAGATCCGGACGATCCCGGATCTCCTAACCTTCCGCCGCGCCCTCAAGACATGGCTTTTTCAACAAGCGGGACTGACCTAGGGTGAATTTTAAATAGGGAAAAAATTTTTTAAAGATTTTAATAATGACACAGCCATAAATATATTTGGTTTTAATTGGTTTTATAGGGGAAATGTTTTTTGTGTTGTTTTTTAATATGCTGTGAGCCGCCCTGAGTCCCGTGGGGAGAAGGGCGGCATAGAAGTTGGAAAATAAAATAAAAATAAAATAAAAATTATGACAGTTGCAGTTTCCCAGGGTCACGTGATCATGTTTTACGACGTTTTGACAAGCAAAGTCAATGGGGATGCCAGATTTACTTAACAACCCTGTTACTAATTTAACAGCTGCAGTCATTCACTTAACAGATGTGGTAAGAAAAATCGTAAAATGGGGACAACTCACTTAACAAATTTCTCACTTAGCGACATAAATTCTGGGCTCAACTGTGGTCATAAGTTGAGGACTACTTGTATACCTTTATATTTTTATTAAGAAAAAAAATATAGAAAAATAGATTTTGCATTTATAGCAACATGAAGTAGAAGACCTCTCCAAAATTAAGAGATGTTTTATATACAGAGCCAGTTTGGTCTTGTTCTATCCCAGCCTACGTCCGTCCTTGTTGCGTCACAAGAACAACCCCTTTCTTATCAGTAGGCTGGAAAAACCAACCCTTTTTATTTCAAACATGATCCCTTGAAGTTTTTTGCAAACGGTTGCCTTCAGCAACCAGCACCGCCCACACCTTCCCTTTTTATAAAGCAGCCCCAAGGCGTGGCTTCTCAATGCCTTCTCCTCCTTCCTTGGAGTTGTCGTATTGACTCCCTCTGATTTGCTCTAGATAACTGCCTTTGTTTACGAGCGTCTATAATGACGTCCAGCTGTGAGTCCTCAAAATTTGACTCATCTCCTCCACACAGCTGTGTCTCATCCTGAACATGATTGGAGGGCCAGGCTCTTCATCCGACTCTGAGTCTTGTAACTCATCAGAGCCTTCCTCCGATTCTGATGGCTCCTCCTCCTCCTCCGATTCCCTGGACTCAGCTGCTGGGATCACAGGCTGGCATGGAATTACAACACTATCCCGCACCGTTGCTCCGGCGGTTGCTCAGGGACCAATAGCGACCGGTGAAAGACAGGATGCACCCGCACCGAACGTGGCAGAGTTAATCGATAGGCGACCGGATTGATGACCGCCTCGATTGGGAACGGTCCTAGATATCGGTGGTCTAACTTCTTGGCTGGCTGGGTTGACGGTAGGTTCCTGGTGGACAGCTATACCCGGTCTCCCACCGTTAGTGGAGGCGTATCCCGCCTCGACCGATCAGCCACCTATTTGTAATCGGCCTTGGCCTTCTCAAACTGTCATCGTACCAATCGATGAATCGCCTGTAACTCTGCCATAAAATCATTCGCTGCTGGAACCAGTGAGTCTAGCGGTGAAAGAGGGGAAAATCAGGGGTGATATCCCACATTGGCCAAGAACATGGTCATCTGCGTGGAGGTGTGCTGCGAGTTGTTGAACGTGAACTCGGCCACCACAAGATAGCCCGCCCAATTGTTCTGCTGTTGATTTATATAGCAGTGCAGATATTGCTCAAGGATCCCGATGACCTTCTCGGTCCTGCCGTCAGTTGGGGATCATGCGCGGATGAGAGACAGATCTTGACGTCCAACTCCTTCATCAACCCCTGCCAGAAATGGGCTGTAAATTGGGACCCTCTATCGGACACAATCCTATCAGGGAGGCCGTGCAGCCGGAACACCTGCTGGATGAACATACGACAGGTGGCATGGGCTGACGGCAAGCCACGGCATGGGATGAAATGCGCCATCTTGATCAGCATATCCACCACCACGAACACTGTCGTAAATCCAGAAGATGGGGTAAATCCGTCAAGAAGTCCATGGACACAGCCCCCCAGGGTCTTTTGGGCATCGGCAAGGGTTGCAATAGTCTAGGCGGAGCCTCCATTGCTGACTTGGCCTGCCTACATGGGGTATAGGACGTGACATAGGTCTGGACGTTGTGTCTGACTCGGGGCCACCAGAAGGTACAGGAGACCAAGTTCAGGGTCTTGAACAGGCCAAAATGCCCCGCTGACGGATTATCGTGACACTGGCTGAGGATGAGTTCCCTGAGTGGCCCTCCTGGAACATAGAGCCGGTCACGATAGTGTAAAAGTCCATCTGTGACTGTCCAGGGGGAATCTGGCCCCACCTCCTCCTTTCACTGAGCCACCCACGCATCGTGTTGCTGGGCCTCCCGAATCCGAGCCTGAACATCTATAGGTTCCCGCACCGCAGCAAAAGACTCGATGGGGAGCACTGTCCTGGGCAGAAGCTTGTCTTCTGCTCGGGAATATTCGGGCTTCCTGGACAGAGCATCCGTTCTTTGGTTGCAACCACTGGGTATGTATATTACATGGAAATTGAACCTCGCAAAGAAAAGAGACCACCGAATCTGGCGTTGGTTCAATTTCCGAGTGGTCTGCAAGTGTTCCAAATTCTTATGGTCCATCCAGATGATGTCTCCATGCCTCAAACGCCACTTTGATGGCTAGTAGCTCCTTCTCCCAGATGACATAATTGCGCACCGCTGCATTCAGTTTCTGCAAGTAGTACACGCAAGGGAAGAGGGCAACGCCGGACGACATAGCCTGAAGTAACACCGCTCCAATGGCAATGTCGGAGGCATCCGCCTCCACGACAAACGGCCGTTGCGGGTCAGGATGCTTTAAGATGGGCTCCTTCATGAAGGCTTCAACGTCTGGAAAGCCCATTGTTCTGGGGCGTCCCACTGAAACCGGGTCTTTTTCTGCAGTAGCCGAGTGAGGGGGGCCGTCATGGCAGCAAAACCAGGGATGAAAGTCCGATAGTAGTTGGCAAACCCCAGAAGTCGCTGGACATCTTTAACATGACGTGGGGGTTGCCAACTCCGCAAAAACTCAACCTTACTCAGCTCCATGGCGATGCCCTCAGGAAAAATGCAGTGACCCAGGAAGTCGATGGTCCTCTGGTAGAACTGGCACTTCTCCAGTTTGGCATACAACTGATGTTCTCGGAGCCGTTGCAGGACCAGACGGAGATGCTGATGGTGCGCCTCTCGTGACGGGGAGTAGATCAGGATGTCGTCCAAGTAGATCACGACAAACTGATCTAACAAGTCTCGGAAGATGCCATTCATAAAATGCTGAAACACTGCAGGGGCGTTGGTCAGTCCAAACGGCATCACAGTGTACTCAAAGTGCCCATACTAGGTACCAAATGCCATCTTCCACTCATTACCCGACCGAACCCTGACGAGGTTGTAGGCTCCTCTCAGGTCCAACTTTGTGAAGATCTTTGCCTCACGGAGCCAGGAGTTCGGGGATGAGGGGCAGCGGGTATCGATTATGCACTGTGATGGTGTTTAGTTTCCGGTAGTCACAACAAAGCCTCATTTCGCCGGACTGTTTTTACAAAGAGCACGGGCGCTGATACTGGCGAAGACGAGGGCCGAATAAAACCCCGAGCCAAATTCTTGTCCAGAAAGTCCCGCAACACGGCCAACTCGGGGTCCGACATGGAATACAAACGCCCCACTGGGAGAGGCGCATCAGGGACTAAATCGATGGGGCAGTCGTATGGCCTGCGCAGGGGCAATTGATCCGCCTCAATCTTGCTGAACACATCAGTGTAATTCGCCAGTTTGGAGGGCAAGGTGTCCCCTGGGAGACCTTCCACCTGGCCGGCAGACATGGCGGTTGTGGTCCACACACTGTAAGCTTGGGAAGGCGACCTCTGGGACCAATAAATCTGCAGGTCATGTGTCCGGAGCCACGCCAGTCCCAAGGCCACGGGGAAATGCAGGTTGGAGGCTATATAGAACTGAATAGTCTCCTCATGTGAACTGATGGCCATACATAATGGTTGCGTGGCGGCCTTAATTGGCCCAGATAGGAGCACTCGACCATCAATAGTCTCCACTAACATGGGCGGTTCCACCGGGCACCGGGGAACAGCCCATTTGGCCACAAATGCTGCACCTATAAAGTTTGTGGTGGCCCCAGAGTCAATTAAAGCATGGACTGGAATCCCCTTCGGCATCCCAGGGAGGATCAGGCGTGCCTCCAGTATCAGATGCTGTGGAGGTCCGTAGGCAGCATCTGAAGGACGTCGCTCAGTGTTGTGGGATGCCCGACCTAAAACGCCTTTCAGATGGGCTCGGGGCGTTTCCCGACAGAGGAGTAGGTGGCTTTCTCGGGGCAGACTCGGTCACTAACACCCTTCGTCGCTTCTTGGGGCAGGTGGCCAAATGCCCAGGGTCCCCACAGTAAAAACACAAGCCCCCCGAACGCCGTCTGTGCATTTCAGCCACTGATAGGCGAGGTCTGGCAGCACCTAACTCCATAGGCTCCTCCCACTGAACCGGAATCTCACGCACAACGGGGGCCGCACGAGTCTCTGGGGTGGCACGGCTACTCCTACGCTACTGTAGCCAAGCGTCAATCTGCAGACAGAGATGGATCAGCCCGTTGAGGTCCGGAGGAATATCAACACGGGCCAGCTCATCCAACATCTCGTCCGACAAGCCATCCTGGAAAGCGTCCACAAGTGCAGCCTCATTCCAGGCTGAATTCAGGCTCAGCAGCCGAAAATCGCTGATATAGGCCTGTAGAGGGCATCGGCCCTGCCTCAGAGCTTTCAAACATCGGGTAACAGTCTGCGTCTTAATGGGGTCCTTATACATCAGACGCATGTAATCACAAAACCCCACAAAGTTGTCCAACAATGGACTAGGTTGGGCTAGCAGGGATGTGACCCAACGAGCTGCAATACCAGAAAGGAGGCTTATCATGAACCCCACTTTATCCCAGTTAGTGGGGAAATCAGCCGCTCTCAGGCTGATAAATAGCTGGCATTGTCCCAGAAAGGCAGGAAACATATCCGGATTGCCATCAAATTTGTACGGCATCGCAACTGGGCATTTTTTCCTGGGTTGTGGAGCAGCAGGAACGGGTGCTTGCAGCTGGGCCACTTGAGCTGCCAACAAAGCCAGCTGCTGGGAGAACTGAGCATTCTCAGCACGTAGCTGCTCCATAATAGTAAGGGGTGGGTGGCTGAAGGCAAACTGTTCTGTCTCAGCCTATGTCCGTCCTTGTTGCGTCACAAGAACAACCCCTTTCTTATTAATAGGCTGGAAAAACCAACCCTTTTTATTTCATAAACAGTCCTAATACGTTTTCTCCAAAACAAAAACAACAGAATACTTTTCCAACAGATAATTGTTTTAAAAAGCAAACAGAGCAGGAGTTAAACAAGAAATTCACCGGTAAAACAAACAGACCATGATCCCTTGAAGTTTTTTGCAAACAGTTGCCTTCAGCAACCAGCAACGCCCACACCTTCCCTTTTTATAAAGCAGCCCCAAGGCGTGGCTTCTCAATGCCTTCTCCTCCTTTCTTGGAGTTGTCGTATTGACTCCCTCTGATTTGCTCTAGATAACTGCCTTTGTTTACAAGCATCTATAATGACATCCAGCTGTGAGTCCTCAAAGTCTGACTCATTTCCCCCATACAGCTGTGTCTCATCCTGAACATGATCGGAGGGGCCAGGCTCTTCATCCGACTGTGAGTCTTGTAACTCATCAGAGCCTTCCTCCGACTCTGATGGCTCCTCCTCCTCCTCCTCCTCCTCTGATTCCCCAGACTCAGCTGCCGGGATCACAGGCTGGCACAGAATTACAACAGGTCTAGTGGTTAAGACACCAGGTTAGAAAGCGGGAAACCATGAATTCTAGTCCCGCCTTTAGGCATGAAAGTCAGCTGGGTGACTTTGGGCCAGTCACTCTCTCTCTCAGCCCAACTCACCTCAGGGTTGTTGTTGTGGGGGAAAATAGGAGGAAAAGGGTGTTTTGGGTATGGTCACTGCCTTGAGTTATTTATAAAAATAATAAAGGGGAGATATAAATAAATAAATAAAAATATTCCAATAATATTTTCCCATGTCAAAGTATTTAACTTCAACAAAATCCTGATATTTCTTAAACCAAATGTATGATTTTTGTCTTAAAATACAAGCTAAAGAACAAAAGGCAATGGACATAAGGATGTGATGGACTTAAGAATAGAAAGATACAGCAAGGTATGAGTGAAATTTTGGTGTATAGACATATACATATACGTATACGTATACATACACACACACACACACATATATACATATATACATATATATATATATATATATATATATATATATATATATATATATATATATATATATATATATATATATATATATATATATATATATATATATATATATATATATATATATATATATATATATATATATATATATATATATATATATATATATATATATATATATATATTCAGATTTTTTTTGTGGCTGACAAAGAGTTAGTGGGAGACTAGTATAGCTATTTCAAGCTCTTTAGCTCTCATGACTAGCTGATGAGAGCTAAAGAGCTTGAAATAGCTATACTAGTCTCCCACTAACTCTTTGTCAGCCACAAACATTTTAAATTTACAATGTTCACAGTATGTGACATCTGCCTGCAAAACATACTCCTAGATTGGAGCGAAACACAGAACAGACTGTTTATCCTATACTTGGTAGACCGGGTGCTCCAGCCAACACACACATATAACAGTATATATCCAGAAGAGAAATATGTCTAAATTTAAGCCTGAACTCCATACATTTATTGGAGGAGTAAAGTTAACTGCATTAAACTTAGTTAACAACATATAGTTTTCATGTTTCCCAATTAAATATGGCAAGAAACCGAATCACTAATTTTTAGCAATTTTTGTCACCAAGGTTTTGTGATCTTTTCAGACGGTGCATTGTGGACAACCAAAAGCGGGGTTGGCAACCTATAGGATGAGGGTCCCATCCTGATTTATGATATGATATTACCTTGGCTTTATTTCAGAGCTATCTTGACAATGAACACAATCAGTACTATAGTAAATAATAGAAGGAATCTCTATGTAATAAATAACATATATAAATGAAACAAGCTTCATACCTTGATGCATTTACAGAGCTGCTCATGATATTTTTCTAACAATATGGAAAATAAAACAGCTGTATTTTTGAATGATACGCAAGAAAATTTGCAAAGCTTTTCTTGCACAGAAATGACAAAATAAAATTTTCATCTTATTTGTAGCCTTGTGTTAGAAGCACATCTCTTTCTATACTGCAGTAATTTGTAAGTCACATTCCTGGGACCATTTGTGAGAGGAAGCAGGAAGCAACCCTGATGCCATAGCAGACCCTTTAATAGACCTCCAGCCTCCTTGTTCTGTATTCTTGCACATAAGCCAACCAACCTCCATGAAATCCTATATAGGAACTTCCTCCTTCAATTCGTGACAGCTTATTGATGAAAATTACAAACACCCTGGCTTGATTCTTCTGTATTTTATTGACTTCATTAACAGTTGAATACCTGCAAGAAAAGAGAAATAGGCATCATTCTTTTGTGAAGTTAAAGCAAAGTCTTTATATTCACCTGCCCAATAGCTCCTATTATTTCAACACAGATAAAAGTTTATTTTCCCACCTCATTCTGATGTATGATGAATAGGTGGAGATAGTTCTCCATGAAATTAGAATATTGGCCTGGCGTATTTATTGGACTATGTAAAAATCTATGAACTTGGCTGGCTTATAATTATGGTTAAATAAACATATTACAGCAACTATTAATTGATTATATGCTCAGTATTGCTTATCAAATAGTCTCATCTAACAGGCAACTTACCTGGCTGAGGCAATGAGCTGGGCACTGAGCGATCCATTTTCAAAGTCAGTCTGAATAATGAGGATTTTACTCCCATCGGTCCTCACAGCAAAAAAATTCCTGAGAAAATACAGAAATGTTTAAATGAGCTTCACTTTGTTGCACAAAGAATGAATCACTCACATCCAGACCTTTATTTAAAACAAGGTCACCTCACCAAACACTCCAGCAGTTTGAACAGTAACATAACTTCATTGCAATCTTCCAATTTATATTTTACAATTCAATTATAAAACTCCTCTTATCATATGAAATTTATTCTATTAATCATTTATTTTATTACAAGCACTTTTATGTCACTTCAAAAAAAAGTATAAAGAAACATACAAATTTGCATTATTCTGCAACCATTGTGGATGATGAACACTCACTGAATATCCTTCAAAAACGAGTACTCCGTGTCAAATTGTTGCAAGAACAAAACTTTCAGGCTGTCTGAATCATGCTGCAATTCTGCCTCCAAAATCTTTGTGTCTGCTGCAGTCAGGAGCCTGGAGAAGGTTGTGATCTGTAACAGTTAAGATAGCAGGTTTTTCTGTCAAATATTAACAAAGTTTTCACAGGATGGTCATGCAGTCTCTTGTTTTTTTATTATCCAAGTGGAAATATTTTCTTCCCTTCCTTTCTCCTACACATACAGGTAAACACTTGTTTAGAGACCACAATTGGGAACAGCAACTTGGTCGTTAAGTGAAGCAATTGCTAAGTGAAATCTTGACTTTGCTTATGACAGTGATGGCGAACCTTTTAGAGACCGAGTGCCCAAACTGCAAGCCAAAACCCACTTATGCATTGTTGGGTGCCGGGTGGGCATGGCCCATTGGGTGGGTGTGGCCCATTGGGTGGGCGTGGCTGTGGTGGTAACGGCAGACTGGGTGGGACTAAAAAGTTCAATCAATCAAGTCCAACTTTGCGAGATCTTTTTCTTTCCTGTGAGAAGTTGAAATTGACTGATTGAATCTTTTTTTTTTTTTTTTTTGCACACGGCGGCGGAGGCCTAAAGCGAAAAGATTTTATAAAACCAAGCTGAAGGCCTAGGACTGGGGCGACGGCGCGCATGCCCACAGAGAGGGCTCTGCGTGCCACCTCTGGCACCCGTGCCATAGGTTCGCCACCACTGGCTTATGAGCTTATTTCAGCTTTCATTGGCTTTACACACCTATGAAAATCATAAATGTGAATATTTTTCATCACCATCATAATTGCAAATGATCATTTAACAATGGCTACCAGTGTAGACTTTGGGACTTGGCATAAAATCGGAAAGGATCTGAGTGACACTATCAATTAGTTGGTTACAAAAAGATCAGGTAATTTCTAACCATTTTAGTTTAGAAATTTTATTTATTAACAGTTTACTTATTTATTATCTAAATTTGTATAGCAAATTCCTTTGTTCTATTACTCAGAAATAGTCCTGAAGTAGTCCTTCGTTTGTTCCAAGGAAAGCTATGCTCTACTTCAAACATTCCAGACTCTTACACTGAAAGAAAAACACTGGTTTCTCAACATTTCTGCTACATATAGACATACTAGGAAAACATTCTGAAAACAAAATCTCATTTCAATTTGCTCAGCTAGAGTCTTCTTAAATCTTGGGATTCTGACAAGAAAGTGCATTTCTATACCCTAAATATTTCCTGCATGTATTTTTCATTTCAACACATTTAGTATTCAGGGTAAATCTAAACCGTACAATAACACAGCAGCCATCCAAATTTCTGGAAAATAACAATTCACTAATATAAAGAAACCATAGCAAGCTTTGGGGACAACTGTAATGGAGTCTGCCCATCATGATCATAAGTCATGACGATCATTAACAAATTGTACAATGCTTTCTGAGGCAGTCTTTAAGCGAATCCATGGTTAAGTGAATGCCATGGTCATTAAGCAAACCAATGGTTTGCTAGGGGCACATTTTTTGTGACAAGTGTCGGATTTTGGCAAATCCATCATAAAACATGGCCACACGACCATGGAATGCTGCAACCAGCCGTAAATGCTGCTGTGTTGATAAATACCCGAAGTTCTGGCATGTATGGGGGGGGGGAGAGAGAAACAGCCATCGGAAGTTCAAATCCAGTCACAAGTAGCCTCAAGGTATCCTTCCCTCAGCTAAACACACAAACTTGAAATTTTCTATATCAGTGGTTCTCACCCTTTTTAATGCCACGACCCCAACCGGTCGTAAGTCGAGGACTAAACCGGTCGTAAGTCGAGGACTAAACCGGTTGTAGGTCGAGGACTAAACCGGTCGTAAGTCGAGAACTACCCAACCGGTCGTAAGTCGAGGACTTTCCCTGCCTGGGAGCGCCGCACATGCGTGGTTCTGCCCCCTGCGCCGGCCGAGGCGTAGCTGGCAAGCGGCAGAGACGGAGAAGCCGACCACCAGCTGGCCCAGCCCAAGGGAGGTAAGGCACCCGCCGGAAAAGGGGGGAAAATGGCGGACAAAAAAAATGGCGGACAGCCTTGCTTGGCAACCCCCATGAAATGGTCAATCGACCCCAAATGGGGTCCCGACCCACAGGTTGAGAACCACTGTTCTATATTAATATTATTGGAGTAGTTCTGTGATTACATCAGAACAAGCCATTTTCTACAATCTATTAAGCAACAAAGATTGCTCTGTAAATACAGATGATAGTATTAATCATCATCTCAATAGCCTGGACTTGGTAAAAACGATTACTTTTCCTCATGCTAATGTTATTTTTATCGAGAGGGAACTAAATCTTGAAAACTGTTTGTATCTATAATCTCCAAAACAAAATATAAAGTAACTAGCCCTAACTCCTGAGGATAATAGAAATGTATTCTAATTTGGAGCATTTTAAAATTGTCTTTAAGCAACTCTTGCCATATATCATGCCAGTTTTAAGAATTCATCATATTTATGAATATGAGAAAAAGGGGCACGGGGGGGGGGGGGGAAACAGGAAGAAACTGTTTAATTGCAGTTTACCTCAATAAACACCGTATGGCCTCTAGAGTCTGACCGAAGGCATCCATGCAAAAATTCGGCAAAGGAAGTGTGTTGCTGTTGCTGAAAGTATATCTTAGCCAAGTTTTCTGTTAAAAAGTCCAGTTTAGAGTCACCGAGACGGACTACAGAATCTGGGGTGGCACAGTTCAAGAGGACCAACTGGGCCTGCTCTTGCACTTTCTGCCTTAGCTGTTGAGGGAGAAGAGACTCTTTCAGGTTTTCTGTCACCTGCAGGACAACCGAAGCGCAAGAGTCTGAATGGTAGCCAATGAAAACATCAGAAGGTGTGTATGTTTGTTGACCCATAAAATATTTCTCAGTTTTAACTGCTACAAAGTCATCCACCCATTTCTTCAGGTCTTCCACAATGTTCTTTTGCCACTTGTTCAGTACGGTATTAATATCCAGATAGTGTTTTTCAAGCCGGTTAATCAGTGGAATGGGAAACTGTTTGTACACCACCTCTTTCTCCTCGATGACAATCAGTCGAAATTTGGGATGCACTCTGCATTTCACTCGATGGGTCCCTAAACCTAAGTCAACATATTTTTGACCAGCAAGTTGGACATAATACTGATTGAGGGCATCATAGAGACTCTCATAAAGGTTTTGTAGGTTGAGAAGAACAACCATCTTCCCAGTCTCCATGCAGATTTTTACTCGGTTTATGTTCCTGCAAATCTGAGTGTATTCTTGATCTTTCCGAAAGCTGGAACCAAAAATAATTTCTGGTTGAGCATCTCTGAAGAAACACTGTTGGAGAATCTGAAGTGCTGCATAATTTTCTGTTAATACTAACAGATATCGGCATTCACCATCCTGGTAATTGCTATAAATGTTCTGCTTAACTAAATCAATTGTACTGATATCCTTATAATATTCATCTCCTCCTTCCGGAATCTTAGACATAAAAGTATCCAAGACTTCAACACCTTCTTTGCCACTGAAATTTCGGAGAACTACCTCTGCTATTTCACGGGGACCTGGAATACTTTCAGAATTTTTTGTCAAAGCAAAAAGCATTTTTACAAGACTGTAATAATCACGCAATCCAAAAAATTCCTTAATTTGTTCCTTACAAATTTCTTCATATGTGTTTGCAAAGATAGGAAAGAAATGCTCAACTCTTTGTAGCACAAAACGTTCTGAAGAGCAAATACCTTTTGCGCTTTCTATGAGTTCATTTTTATTCAGGTCTCCACGGGATACAAAGATGCCTCGATTCATCTTAGCTGGATCTAGGGCCCAGTTAGATATCCCAACGAAGGCAACCTTTTTGTGAGGAAGTGGATCATCATCAATGCAACCATCTTCTAAGAGAGGGTGAAGGGTCTTCAGAGGCATTTTGGGAGAGTCTTCTGCCAATCCAATTTCATCTAATACAACCACCGAGACATATTCACCAAGGTTTTTTCCTTCCTGGAAACGAGCACAATGTTTGAAAGTATTTATGATCCCCTCAGGGGTNGACACCAAATGGATCTGCTTAAGTTCCTTATAAAGGTCAGAATATGCTGCTTGACCCTGCATGGCATCAGCCACGATGGTCTTGGCAAGAGATTTTGAGCTGCCCGGCTTCCCAATAAGAAACAAAGGGATTTTAAGTTCAATGCAGATTACCATCATGAACACATTTTCCTTCAAAGCTAGGTTTTTTGCTATTCTTTTCCTCACAGGCACACCATTCAAAAAAAGATCCTGAACTAAGCTAATTTCTTCAAGAACTACTTTTTCATTACCATATGGTTCTGGAAATATTTTGCAGATTACTCTCCAGTATGCCTCTTTCTGTTCCAGGGAAGCATGGTAGCAAACAGCAACTGAAAAAATCAAAGACCAAATTATCCTGTCTCTCTGGATTACACTTTTAGGAGGATTACTTTCCAGATACTTCTCCAGATGTTCAATAAGACGTTCACTGTGGCCGTGAAACCATCTGAAGACTTCCACACAGCGTTCGACATCTCTGAGGCTGATAAAGCTGCATTCGTCTTTCTGCTTTCTCATGTAGGTCTGTGACTCAAAAAGCACCTCAATAATCATTTGGATCTCATTAGCAGACATTTTGATCGACTTGGCAAGCTTTTGCACAATTTGTTCTATGCATAGTTTTTCAGTGATATTGTTCAATTGCCCAAAATCCCACACCAGAGGTATCATGCTTGGTGGGAGTGCATGGACACGGTAAACAAGCTGCCTAAGGGGAATGGAGCCAAGCTTTTCACTGGTGTCCTCTGCTTTGACACGATAACCCAGTCCAGCTGACTCCAAGCGCTGGATCATTTTTAGTGTGTGTTTGCGATAAGGATTGCATGCAGCTATGATCTGTAAACCTGAGCCGGGCAGTAAAGGCTGTCCTTCTATTGTGTGATCACATAACACTTCCTTGATGCAGCTGACAGCTTCTGTAGTGTTGGCTTCATCAAAAAATAAAATGGTGTCAAACTGATAATTCGACTTATTGTATCCTGCCATATCTTCAGCTTCCCTCACTTTAGCATAGATCGCATCTGCTGTGGTACCTCCATGAACTTTGACAAGCTTCATATTATCAGCATTGACACCAATCTTACGCAGTTCACACAGGTATTTTATAAGCCTGGTTTTTCCACAGCCAGTTTCTCCCATCAGGACAACAGGAATTCCACACCTAAATCTCATTTCAATGGCCAGCATTTTTAGTATATTGTCTGTGGTAAGTTCATAAGTTTCATCAGGATCGGTTGGCCCCTCGATCCCCAAGACCATACAAAGTTTCTCAATTTTCTGAGCTCTGGTCAATGCATCAAAATTAATATTGAATGGAATTTTTTGAAGAACCAATCCCGTGTACAGCTGAGGGGTCATGACATTTCTCTTGATAATATTGCCATTCAAAGGATTGATGGCATCAATGCTGCCATTGATATTGTGCTGGAGATGAAAACCAATGAAAGTCATAGATACACGGTCTGCATTGAAGAATATGTATGGATGGGGTTCAGATTCCCACTTTTTCCGAAGCAAAAATGGAGCAAGAGCTTCCTCAGTAACTTCTCCGAAATCTTGCATTCCAGGGCTTTCATCAGAAATGTTAAGTGAAGGAGTTGCAAAATCCTTTGCCATTAAAATCATAAATTTGACCACAAAATTTTTAAAGCCCTGCAAAGTCTCCTGGACAAATTCAGCATTACAGAAAAGAGAGGTTTCACAATTTCTCAGCTGAAGGTTAAGAAACCAAGCAAAGTTTCTAAGTTCTGACCAAGAAGGATCAATCACGCCACAGTAGATCAAGAACAGCTGTAGGCATTCTCCTGGAGTCCCTTTCACTGAGCCTTTTCTATACTGGAACGCATCAAGATTTTCACCTCTGTTTTCTCTTATCAAATACTGGAATGGTCTCTGAAAAGCTTCACTACAGAACATTTCTTGATCTACTCCAGGATCACTGCTGTCATGAAATAAATTCTGAATATCGTTGTCCAGTACTTCTTTAGGAGATCTGCAAGTTACTTGGGGGAATACATCAAGGAAACTATAGTTCAACCCTGGAGATTTCTGAAAAAAGACCAGAAAAGGAAGGAGTTATAATACAATCAAAAGGTTTTTTGAATTTATTCTCCTATTTCACAAGCTCCATCAGTTTTCCACAGTATTTTCATTTTGTACTATGAAAATGGTTTGTCAATACTGCAGAATTGTAATTACTACGAACAAAATTATTTCTTTGCTACAAAAGAGTATGGGAAAATCTCTTTAAGGGTCCCTTGCAGACAGTTTCACTTTAATCCCATGTAGGGAGATGTTTTTCCCTCTGTGCCTTATAGTTTTTTTTCCCCTTAAGACATTCCGTAGGCACAACTAAGGGGAAATCCCTATTTTCTCCATTGTCTTACAGAAACCAGGTTTAAAATCCTGCTCTAAAATACTAAAAACACAGCAAATATATATTCTATGCCTCTGGATGTACTTACAGATCCTCTTTGTTTTTTGGATGAGGGGGACGGTTGCAGAATTTCTGCAACATAGAGGTGGCACTGTTTCCGAAGCCAAATTTTCCCATCTGTATCTCCCAGATATCGTAAGATGAAGAGCTTGAACAAAAATTCTGAAATTCCAGTCTGAACCTGGAAGAATACAGAAACATAAGGACCATACAAATAAACAGGGATGTTCGTCCTCTAGATATAAGAATATCTTCTCATAAAAGGATATATTGGATGAAAAGGAAAATCTCGTCAATCAAAACTGTGACATACTCACAGAAGAAGTAATATCAAAATGCAGAATCATAGGCCGTTTCTGGGACTTTTGGTCCAGGAGTAGAAACAGAGAGTTCAGGATTTTTCTTTCATTCACATGAGGATCAATCAGCCGAATGGTTCTTAAAAGAACTCTGTGTCCTTGCAGTTGTGCTTTCATTTTTTGATGCAGCCTCTTTATATAGAGAGACTTTCCTATAGTTTTTAACAAAAAGCATTTAAGATATTGACAGGAAAAATAAAAATAAAATAACTAATTCATTTGAGACTGAGAACTCACATAGTCTATACAAATGCCTAGCAACTAATATAGAGAATATACGGAACATCAAAAAAAACCAATCTAATTGGGGGTTTTTGTTTCAAGTTATAGATAGAATGAATTTTGGGGGGGAATTTTTGTCCGCCCTTAAGGCTATTTATCAGCAGCAATCAGCACAGATTATAGTTAATGGGGGGGTAACAGAAGCGTTCAAAATTGAAAAAGGAACTAGACAAGGATGTCCATTATCTCCATTGTTATTTGTGTTAACAATGGAGATTCTGTTAATTAAAATCCGGGAGTCTTCTATAATAAAAGGAATTAAGGTTAACAAGATTGAGTATAGATTAAGAGCTTTTGCAGATAACTTAGTGTTAACATTAACTCAACCAATAGATTCGGTAATTGATTTGGTTGAAATTATTGCACAATATGGAAAAGTTTCTGGTTTTAAGATTAATTGTAATAAGACTAAAATATTACCGAAAAATATGTCTATGAATGATAAAGATATGTTAGCTATGCTTACAGGTTTTGAAATGGTTAAAAAGGTAAAATATTTGGG